GCTGTGGCTTCTTTCATCAACGGTCGCATCGAGGATCTCGACGCTCCCACAAAGTAAGCTAAACTTTTTGTTCGTCAAGCGGCGACGACTCTGCACATGGGATTATGCGTGGCATTCTGCTCTACCCAGTATTGCGCCTTGTGCTCCAAGAAAATTTTTCTTTGGGGGCTCGGGTGGCAATTGAGCCGAGTGCTGCTGGTTGGCTCGTCAGGCTACACAGCGCAAACCTCTCTCACTGCAGGGTCGCCCACACAATTTTTCTTCTTTGGTATTGGAGAAGTCGATGCTAACGTGTGATCTCGTACAGGACTGTCGAGGCTCTCAAGAAGCAGCTCGCCAACAAGAAGGACGCTGCTATCCGCGAGAAGGCCCTGGTCGCCATCCAGTCTATCGCCCAACACTCTGAGGTGTCCGCTCACGTCGAGCCTTACCTCATTGCCCTTCTCCCTAGCGTGCTCGCTGCCGCTGGTGACAAGATCACATCCGTCAAGAATGCCGCCGTTGCTGCCAACCTGGCCATTGCTGGCGCCATCAACCCCAACGCCATCAAGGCTGCTCTCCCTGCTCTGATTGACTCTCTCCGCAACGCTCAGAAGTGGCCCGAGAAGATGAGTGCCCTCGATTTCGTCGAGTCGCTCGTCGAGAGCGCCCCCGCACAGATGGCTTTCCGCGTGCCTGAGCTCATTCCCGTCATTTCTGAGGCCATGTGGGATACCAAGAAGGAGGTCAAGGACCGCGCCTACAAGACCATGGAGAAGCTCTGCCAGCTCATTGTCAACCGTGATATCGAGCGCTTCATCCCCGAGCTTATCCAGTGTATCGCCAAGCCCGAGAACGTCCCCGAGACCGTTCACTTGCTCGGTGCCACCACCTTCGTCACCGAGGTCCAGGAGCCCACTCTTGCCCTCATGGTTCCCCTGCTTGATCGTGGTCTTGCTGAGCGTGAGACCGCCATCAAGCGTAAGGCCGCCGTCATTGTCGACAACATGTGCAAGCTTGTCGACGACCCCAACGTTGTCGCTCCTTTCTTGCCCAAGATGATGCCCGGTCTCCAGAAGAACTACGACAACCTTGCCGATCCCGAGGCTCGTGAGAAGACCAAGCAGGCTCTTGACACTCTCACCCGCGTCGGAAACGTTGTTGATGGCAAGATCCCCGAGGCCCGCAACGATGGCGACGTCAAGGTCGTCCTTGCTAAGCTGAAGGAGGTCATTCCCGCCAAGCACGCCAAGACTGCTGAGAAGCTCGAGAGCATCCTTGAGTACGCTTCTGCCGTTGCCGGTCAGCTCATCGACGAGAAGGAGACCGAGCCCTCCACCTGGGCTGAGAACGTCAAGCCTTTCCTCACCGTCGTTGTCGGTGACGATGATGCCGAGACCGTTGTCCAGAACTTCCGCAAGAAGGCCTCTCCCGGCGTGGGCGAGGAAGACGCTGCCGAGGAGGACGACGAGGAGGGTGAGGATCTCTGCAACTGCACATTCTCCCTTGCCTACGGTGCCAAGATTCTTCTCAACCAGACCCACCTCCGCCTCAAGCGTGGTCAGCGCTACGGTCTTTGCGGTCCCAACGGTTCTGGCAAGTCCACCCTCATGCGTGCCATCAACAACGAGCAGGTCGAGGGTTTCCCCAAGCAGAGCGAAGTCAAGACTGTCTTCGTCGAGCACGACCTCGACTCTGAGGATACTGAGATGACCACCATCGACTGGACCATGAAGAAGCTGGCCGAGGCCGGCGTCGACACCAGCCGTGAGGATGTCATCAAGAAGCTCGAGGAGTTCGGCTTCTCCGAGCAGATGATCAAGGGCGAGATCACTGCCCTGTCCGGTGGTTGGAAGATGAAGCTGGCTCTGTGCCGTGCCGTCTTCGAGGCTCCCGATATTCTGCTCCTCGACGAGCCCACTAACCATCTTGATGTCAAGAACGTGAAGTGGCTCGAGGACTACCTCAAGAACTCTTCCTGCACATCCATCATTGTGTCTCACGACTCCGGCTTCCTCGACAACGTGTGCCAGCACATCATCCACTACGAGCGCTTCAAGCTCAAGCGCTACAGGGGCAACCTTTCCGAGTTCGTCAAGAAGAACCCCTCTGCGAAGTCCTACTACGAGCTCGGCGCCTCTGAGATGGAGTTCTCCTTCCCTGAGCCCGGTTTCCTCGAGGGTGTCAAGACCAAGGCCAAGGCCATCCTCCGTGCCACCAAGATGTCATTCCAGTACCCCGGTACCCCCAAGCCCCAAATCACCGACATCTCCTTCCAGTGCTCCCTCGGCTCCCGTATCGCCGTCATTGGTCCCAACGGTGCCGGCAAGTCCACCCTCATCAACGTGCTCACTGGTGAGCTCATCCCCACCCAGGGTGAGATCTACCAGCACGAGAACATCCGTATCGCCTACATCAAGCAGCACGCTTTCGCCCACATCGACAACCATCTTGACAAGACCCCCTCCGAGTACATTCAGTGGCGTTTCCAGACTGGTGAGGATCGTGAGACCATGGACCGTGCCAACAAGATCATCACCGAGGATGATGAGGCTGCCATGAACAAGATCTTCAAGATCGAGGGTACTCAGCGTCGCATCATCGGCATTTCCTCCCGCAGAAAGTTCAAGAACTCGTACGAGTACGAGTGCTCTTTCGCTCTCGGCGAGAACATTGGCATGAAGGGCGAGCGCTGGGTCCCCATGATGACCGCCGACAACGCTTGGTTGCCCCGCTCCGAGCTCCTTGCTTCTCACCAGAAGCTCGTTGCCGAGGTTGATATGAAGGAGGCTCTTGCCTCTGGTCAGTTCCGTCCTCTGGTCCGTAAGGAGATTGAGGCTCACTGCGCCAACTTCGGTCTTGATGCCGAGTTGGTTTCTCACTCCCGCATGAAGGGTCTGTCTGGTGGTCAGCGTGTCAAGGTCGTCCTCGCCGCCTGCTCGTGGCAGCGTCCCCACTTGATCGTCCTTGATGAGCCTACCAACTATCTCGACCGTGACTCTCTCGGTGCCCTGTCCAAGGCCCTCAAGAAGTTCGAGGGTGGTGTCATCATCATCACTCACTCTGCCGAGTTCACCAAGGACTTGACTGAGGAGGTGTGGGCTGTCATGGACGGCAAGATGACTCCCTCCGGCCACAACTGGGTCCAGGGCCAGGGCTCCGGTCCCCGCCTGAAGGCTGATGAGGGCGAGGAAGAGGAGAAGTTCGATGCTATGGGCAACAAGATTGTTAGCACCAAGAAGAAGGCCAAGCTCACTTCCTCCGAGGCTCGCAAGAAGAAGAAGGAGCGTATGGCCCGCCGGAAGCGTGGTGAGGAGGTGTTCAGCGACGAGGACGACCTTTAAAGTAGCATCGAACGGGTTTCTTTTCGTTGTTTCTTTTCCTCTTACGCGCGCACTTATTCCCTTTTGTCTTTATGGTTTACGAAGAAAAAAGTCGGTTCTCGGGTTTTTTTTGCATGGTTGGGCATTGTCGTTTTCCCGTCATGATGTTCTACGGACGATTTGCAAGTAGAGGAATGACGATAGAGCGGTGTGGTTGGCCTCACGTATTGTTCAGGGCGTTGGACTTGCATTTGTCTGCCAGAGGACTGGAGACCCTCTGGATGGATGGATGCAGCTGGCGGTCGATACAGGAGATGTAGATAGATCGTAATGGAGAGATCTAAACCTGATATGCTCTGTGCCCCTTGTGATGATGTCTTATGTTTCTGCCTTTGCTTTGACAGAAGGTCCCCTTGTGTAGTCACAGTAAAACCAATCAATCAGCTAGCATCGACTGTTGGAGCCCACTTCGTTGTGGCTTTATCATATCTTCGTTCATAGCTTGTACTGCAAGTTCAATATCAAGACATCCCAAACGCCACATGATGCACCCCAGGTAATCCTACACGAGCAAACCCCCGTCGTATGCGACCCTTCCTACTGCTGATGCGGCTTGCTGGCAGCGCCCTCCTTGGCCATGCCCTCGCATCCCGTCACCTTGCCGGCAATCTCCTCAACCTTGCCGTAGCCGTCTCGAGCCGGGTCCCGGTTCTCGGCCGCCGCCCGCATCGAGGACTGGGCGTGGGCTTTGTCTTGTTCGCCCGAGGAGGTCCAAGCGTGCGAGCCGGTCACGGAGCCGATTGCTGCCTGTGGGAAGGAGGGTGGTGTTAGCTGCTGTGTAAGAGAGGGGGGAGGGGGGACAAAAGAGGGAAGGGGGAAGTACCTCTGCGGCGCCCTTGATGTACTCGGCGTGGGCGGCGACGAGGCCGGGTTGTTGGGTGTTGGAGGGGTTGGAGGACATTTTGGTGGTTTCGGCTTGGATAGATTTGAAGATTGATTTATGTGTGGGTGGGTTTAGCGGTGTTGTTTTTGTGTTGTGGTACTGTAGTAGCAAGACAGCGAGTGGTGTGTATATGAAGGAGTTGGTAGAGAAGGCTTGGAGCATAAGAAGAACATATGGTGATGACGTTGGGGGTTCGGTTGACGTCATGGGGTCTCATTGGCACTCTACTACTAGTAAACACTTCACTAACTGTTGCAGGCTTGCAGCAAGGTACAGCTGCCGCCAACCTCGGATATCGCCGTCGCCATACAAGTAATTATTCCAAGTTGTCTATATCTTGTCGACAGGAGTGAGACTCTCAGACAGCCAATTCCGTCCGTGATTGCCCCTAAGCCAAGCACTTTCACAGCAGAGGGGATTATCCAAGGCCAACCCTACATCAGTCGGTACGCAGTCATACAGCGTACTCAGGAGTAAACCAAGACTAAAGAACATACACGCTTTGAAACTACTCGTGCCCGTTGAGCAGTTGTAAGAAAGGAGGCGCGCGGTGCCCCGGTTTGCCGGGCACCGCGCGCGTAGCTATCTATCAAAACCAAGGGTTCTCCCTATGCCCCGGGTAGCTCAGTTGGCCAGAGCGCGGGACTTTTACGAGATTCTGACGCAGAGCGGCAGCAGTCCTCTATCCTATCTGTTATTTTGAGGGCATGGTACGTTGAGCAAAATGGCAAATTGAAGTGATTTCACAAAAAAATCGCCCGAAGAGGGGCTCGAACCCTCGACATTGGGATGTCTCGGAGACTCTCAGAGTCTCGTAAAAGTCCCACGCTCTAGCCAACTGAGCTACCCGGGCATATGGTAATCGGTTTTGATAGCCACCCCGGTTGCAAGTACTATCAACTTTTTGGGAAAAAACGAGGTTAGCAGTAGTGGAAGCCATACATATAGCCTGGAAGCTGTACCTGGTCAGTTTGCAATCAAGGTTTGCAGCACTCATGCAAAAGGGAAGGTGGCCCAGGAGTTCCTGCCTGGCAACAGATCTTACATGTGCACGTTCCCAGTCTCGAAATTCAGTGGAGCATTCGGGCGTCGGATGTGCAAACAACCGGCCAACCTTAGAACCTTGAGGTTGCGTTTCGCACACCTCACTTAATCAGGACTTACCGTGTCTGACGAAGCTTTGGAGCCTCAATACGCGTCTACATTCTTGCACACAAATGTCAGCTCAATTTGGTCTAATTGTGTTTCTTGCTATCTGGGTAAGGAAGCCGGGTTAATCACGGTGCTCCCGTACAACCACGTACGTCACCAGTACGCCCGCACCACAACAAATCGTCATGGTGCGTTGTTCAGCTTGGTAAATTGTGAGGTAGCCGACGACGGCGAGAGACTTCTCAACGGACATTCGTAATGTCGATCACAAGGCAGAGCGGTAACCTTCGGTCACTAGGTACATAGGGGTCATTTTCGAACGATTCAAGGACCAATGCGAATACTCGCATCGGTTTGTGTGCCGTGTTCAACCCTCCTGCAGCTCCTGCGAAATCCAGCATCTGTGCATTGCCTGCCATTGGGGTCGGCAAAGGCAGCGTAGACCTGATCATTGTCGGCATAGCCATTCGATCTTGGTGTGCCATGAGCCGCGTATGTCTACTGGGCCACTCCGCCATACCCGCGACATGTACGAGGCCTTCCAGATAATTTTTTTTCGACAGGTATGCCACGCGGGTGGCATCTTAGCATGTCCGGCATTCTAGGACTTTCCAGACCCTGCGCCAGCGCCGAGGTTTGGTGGTGACAGATCGGTTGCGAGCCAGCCCTTCCAGGTTGACGCTCATGGCCAAGGCGAGACATCACACCATGGATATAACACCATCGGTCTAACACCACCCCAAAACGCCAGATTTCATAAGCTGTTGTACGAGGATGTTCAAGGCTGTAATGAGTATCTACTGACCTTCTGAACCGGTGTTTGGTCAGTCTTGGCCGGTTGGGGTGAAGATGTCACTTGTGTCACCCTAAGTCTGCCCTTACTGGTTGGTTGACCTGAAAGGTGTGTCTCTTCAGACCGAGCTTCTGGGAATAAGTCAAATACACCGCCAACTTCGTGGGAGGCCTGCGCAGGGGTGCCAAGAGGGTGTGATATGCTGCCCTTCTAATACCCGTGCCTGAGCAACCAAGCTGTTGGAAAGTTTCGTACCACGCCCATTGGCCATACCAAACAATAACGCCTTGTAACGGTTGTGATTCAGCCTGCCCAGACTGTGTACTTGATTCCAGTCGGTGTCGCTTGGCGCCGGCTGTGGCACAAGTGGTGCACGGAGAATGACCCCCATTGGTTCGAGTGTCATTGCGGACATATCCAGCGACCGAACATCCGTGCTGTTGCGATTACACTCCGGTAACAGAGAGGGGTAGGATGATATCCCATGTCCTACCAGAGCTGCGCCTCTTCCCTTTGCAGCCACCGCCGCCCACCGGCGCGGGTGGTACGATCTGATACGGAACTTCGAATGTGTCTCATCTCGACGGGAGGGTCAGCGACGGCTACTAAAGCCCATGTCATCTCCAAAACTTAGGATACTGGGTCGGTTGGGTTTTTGAGATGTATCGCCTACAGTTTTTGGTTTCATCGAAGTCCATATCAAGCCTCGATTGTGCTTCCAGGCATGGATCGACCGTCATCAAGTGATCAGGGCTACCAAGCCAGCATCGCCAAGAACGACGCCATGGAGGAGATGAGTATCCAGGACCCAGAAGTACAAACCGGTGATCCCGCTCGATCCTCAATCCGCTATCTGTTCAGAAGTCTGATGGCCAGGTTGCCGGCGAGGGCCCATCAACTTAGGACTGAACTCGTCCTGTTCGGGATCAGCCTCGTCTACATGTTCCTCGTTTGCTGGTTCACCATCGTCGTCCTCATCCATGGCAACGTCGAGACGCCGTTGGGTGTCTTCTGGGGCTTCTCCACTACCAACTTGATGGTCACTATCCTCTCGCAGATATCAGCCTACCTGATTGACTCGATCATCCGCTCCTATCTGGCCCTGCTAAGGAGAGTCTTCCTTGCCAAACCAAAAGGGCTTTCGTTTGCATCCTATGTAGGACTCGGCGAGGCATCGGGATGGTTCACAGTCTTCCAAATCTCGGCCATGAACTGGTTCCTGAACTTGTACTGCAATTTCAGGTAAGCCAAGTCCTGATCTTCCTCTAATCACGAGCAATGTCACCCAATGTTGGCCGATGCTGCTCGACGAGGTGGTTCCCGTCATTGACTTCTCACGAGGTTGTCGCTGTTCGTCCTGGCCCTGGCATTCGGGGCAGTTCTCAAATGTAGGTCCTCATATACCCCAACTTGACCCAGGTTTTGTGCAAAGAGGTACTGATATGCAAGTTGGCAGTTCAGGCAGCTCCGTCTTACTACTTCAGGGCTTCCAACGCAACTATGCCTGTATACGCCGGACTCCTTCCCCTTAACGTCCACGTGATGGAAAGAGTCACCAGGGCGGATATGGCCATGTTCTTCGAAATGATGAGTGCCGATCTCTTGAGCAACTCAAATTACGCCAAAGAATTCCCTTTGGCTGGCTGTACTGGCGACTGCAGGTCCATCATCATGCCCGGTGGGCTCCAAATGGCTCGCCAGGCCAAGCAGCAACTTAATGAGTCGGTGCTCTCTGGCGGAACCTTCTTCAACTCCGAGACAGTGAGGTTCGGTCTAGCACCGGGGTTCATCCTCCGCTATGACAAACCCGAGGCCAACCTTATCTTTGACCTTTCTCAAGACTGTGTCTACGGCGGCGAGCAGGTCAACAACGGTATACAGGTGTGTATCAAGCAGTGGGAGGAGTCGATTCTCGTCGGTGAGCGGCATCCCGAATCTATAGCGAACCACTAACACATTGATTCTGGAATGAAGTCAAGTGTGGCCAGGGATTCGGCAACATATTGTAGCGGCAAATTCTAGATATTAAGCAAGCACAGCGCTAATCTGTGAGTAACTCGCAGGGTGGACGGCCTGTCCCAAAGCTTTACTTGACAAGAATATGTGCAACACGAACACCACGTGGAGATCAGAGCCAATAACTTCGACCACACTTTTGACGGCCTACAAGCAATTCACCTCCACGTCCTACAACCGACGGAACGGGTCCATCGTAGACATCCATGTTCCAGAAGGCTCTACTCCCGAGCTAGTCTACACCAACGCAACGGACTACAAGACCGTGTTTAACGCCATTCTGGTCCCTGAACCCACCGCCACGATCAATGACCTCAGCAACATCAACTCTCTCATCAACGCCATGACATGGAGCCACAGGACGTGGGCCAAGTCCTTCCCAGACGACAAGGACACGACCACTAGCATTTTGCGCAACGTCCTAGCCGTCCCCTTCCAGCACACGGTCACGGCTACCCTCTTCGGTAACTACACTCTAGCCGAGCGTGGCCTGAACTCCACCTCTTCGTACAACTTCACCCTTCCTGACGAGATGCTAACCACGGCAACCGGCGGTATCGCCAGTTCCAAGCTGACCATCCTTGCCTGGACTGGCTGGCTGTTCATCGCGGGGAACCTTGCCATACACGCACTGGTCGGCGCCGGCATGCTCTGGGTCTTGTGTCGCGAGGAACGGCTGCCCTCGGCTGTCGGTCTCGGTGATCTCGAGGTAGCCCGTGCGGCTGCTCGGACCGCCGTCTTTGCTGTCGAGCCCAAGTGGCCACTGCCGCTTTGGTTCATCAAGACGCCCGCAGGTCTCGACGGCCTGGAAGAAGGTGCAAGCATGCCGCTACTCCAGGCCACAGAGCGTGATGATGTCGGTGGCGGTGAGAAGAACACCTGGCAGTTGGCGAGGATGCTGAGAGGCTTGAGAGTGAAGACTGTCAAGCTTCGAGATGTCGAGAGGGATGCGGAGGCTTATGCGGTGTAACTGCAACGGCTTCAGGATGTGGTCAAGTTTCTGCGTCTTCTTTTCTGTTGCATGGCGAGCCTCAACAAGGGGCCACCAAGCGCAACATGTCAACCATGGGCATCTTTCTCCGCGCACGCCGACCTCAATACTGATGACATTACGTAGTATAGATAAAGAAGTATGATTAATGCATTCCTACCGTGTAACACGATGGTGCCCTAGTACTAGAATCGAAAGAGAGAAAGAAAAAAAAGACAATGCTAATGCCAAATCCCAAGCAGCCGATCAGGCAAGTTTTCAACGCCGTCCCATCCAAGAGCGAAGCCAAGAAAAGAACCATCTAGTACACAAGCAGTCAAAGCCGCACACGTTTACAGTCCGCACCTAGCACGGCACTCGGCAGAGCCCACAGCAGCACCGGTACCAACGTCCGGCACAGAGCCGCCATTCGAGGTGCTGTTGGTACCGAAAGCAGCGTCGACAATGTCGCCAGGGAGCTGGTAAAGAGCGTTGAGGAGGTTGGTGGTGCCGGTGTCATCGGAGTTCAGGGCCGAGATGAGCGTAGCGTTGGTGCAGCCTATATTTCCCTCTGTCAGTCGCCTGCCCGTTAAATCTACCCTCTCTCGGGTTGCACATACCATTGTTCTGCATGCTGTGGACGCTGCCCTGGGGGAAGATGGTCAGCTTGCCCGGGGTCAGGTTGCTCGTGACGATCTTGGCGCCGTTCTCCTGGACCATGTAGGTGGTGGTGTTGCCCTCGACGGCGACGACGAAGTTGTCGGCGCGCGGGTGGAAGTGCGGCGGGAGCATGGCGCAGGGGCCCAGGGCGAGCCAGGCGACCGTCATGCCGTGGCCGGTGGAGGCGGGGAAGGTGGCGGCGTTGGCGTTGACGACGCCGCCGGGGGAGTAGCTGTATTTCTCGGACTGGGTGAAGTCGAAG